ACATTTTTTGGAGGGGGAGGGGAGCAACTGATATCTTTTTCCTCCAGCTATATTGAGATATATTTGAGATATATTTGACATATAACATTATGTAATATATTGTGAAATGATTACCACAATAAGGTTAGTTAACACATCCATCGTTTCATATAGTTATACAGTTACTTTTTCTTTTTTTTCTCTTTTCTTTTTTTTTTTTTTCTTTTGGTGGCGAGAAGTTAAGATCTACTCTCTTAGCAACTTTCAGGTATATGATGCAGTATTGTTAACCACAGTCTCCATGATGTATGTGAAATCCCCAGGACTTACTCATTTTATAACTGGTATTTTGTATTTTTTGATCACCATCACTCATTTTGCCCCCACTACTCAGCCCCTAGCAGCCACTAACCTACAATCTGTTTCCAGATTCCACATATAAGATCATACAGTGTTTGTCTTTCTCTGTTTGACTTATTTCACTTAGTGTAATGCCCTCCAGGTTCATCCATGTTGTTGCAAATGACAGGATTTCCTTCTTTTTTATGGCTGGATAATATTATATATATGTGTATAATAATACATATATATATATATATGTATATATATGTATATATGTGTGCGTGTGTATATATATATATATGTATGTATATATATATACACACGCACACATATATACATATATATACACATACACACACACACACACACACACACACACATATATATACATATATATATAACTTTTATAACATTTTCACCAATCGATAGGTACTTAGGTTATTTCTATATCTTGGCTATTGATAATGCTGCAATGAACATGCTGGTGTAAATAAATCTTTAACATAGTGATTTCATTTATTTCAGATATATTCCCTTCTATTCAATTTTCATTTAGTTTATGGCCAAACTGGTCTCATCTATACCTACCATTCACTCATTCCTAAGTTCCTGGATTATTTTGAAGCAAGCCCATACATCATATAATATACATACATCTATAAATAGTTCAGTGTGTACCTCTAAAAATAGAGCACTATTTTTAAAACTATAAAAGCATTATTACATTTGCAAACATTTATAGTAGTTCCCTAACATCATCAAACATTGCATAAGTGTATACATTTTCGTGATTGTCTTATTTTTTTTTACAGTTAATTTGTTTGAATGAAGATTCAAACACAGGCCACACATGGCGTTTGGTTGATGTATTTCTAAAGTCACTTTCAATCTCTAAGTTTCCTCTTCTTTTAGTTGTTCGCAATTTATTTGTTGTAAAATGGAGTCATTTGTCTTTCAGTGTCGTTCTTATTCTAGGTTTTGCTGAATTGCATCCCTGTAGTGTTGTTGACCATGTTCTTCTCTACTGGTAATTCCTGTAAACTGAAAGCTAGAATGAGATGCTTTGTTCAAGTTCTTTTTGCTTTTGTTTTTGTTTTTGTTTTACCAAGATTTACTCATAAATGGTATTGTGTATATTCTACCAAGAAGCACATAGAAAGCTCGTCTGGATTGTGGCTAAGTGGGAGGATGTTTGTGATTTCATAAGTATATATTGGTTGTATCACCTAGGAATAAAATTTCACAAACTCATATGTTAGAATTGAATATGTCATTATTTTATGATATTTCAAAAAAAGCAACTTAATCTTTAGTGATTCCACCGAGTAAGTATGAGCACCATTACCCTAGTGAATATCAGACTATGGATTATTCCCCCCATATGTCTGAAATTGGATTAAATTAAGGAGAAATTCCAGGGGACATAACCTTGCACAAATACAAGGCATATATGTAGAACTTCTCTAACTTAAAATAATCATTGGTGGTTCTCGGAAAAGAGTGAGGAGCACTGTATTAGAACCAGACTGTTGTGGTGACCCCTCACTTTATAAGAACTTTAAGGAAGACTAATATGGAACTAGATTTCGAGGTCAATTCAAAGCATCAGAATTATCTTCTGGTGGAGCATGTGAACTATTTCCGCCTACTCCAAGAAGATGTACATCCTTGTCTATGCTGGAATGCAGAGTTGAGATAAAAATATGAAAGCATGATAAGAAATCTCAACTATCTTTTAAAAACAGAAGTATATATGCATTCTTATGAATGGAAATAAAAGTATGTGATTGTTCATGGGCTTTCAGAAATGTATGGATTTTAAAATAGCCATATTTCTGGTCTCCTTTTTGTTTCCTCTCATTAAAAAAACTGGAGGGGCTCCTGGGTGGCTCACTCAGTTAAGCATCTGACTTTGGCTCAGGTCACCATCTCAGGGTTCATGAGTTCAAATATCACATTGAGCTCTCTGCTATCCGAACGGAGCCTGCTTTGGATCCTCTGTCCCCCTGTCTCTCTGCCCCTGCCACACTCATGTATGCTCTCTCTATCTCAAGAATAAATAAACATTTTTTTAAAAACTGGAGGGGTGCCTAGGTGGCTCAGTCGATTAAGCGTTCGACTCTTGATCTTGGCTCAGGTCATGTTCTCACAGTTGAGTGAGTTTGAGCCCTGCATCAGGCTCTGAGCTGATGTCACCAAGCCTGCTTGGGATTCTGTCTCTCTTCCTCTCTCCCCCTCCCCCACTTGTGCTCTCTCTCTCTCTCTCTCTCTCTCTCTCTCTCTCTCTAAGTACATAAGCTTAAAAAACTGGAAAATTAGGGATTTTGAATTTATAGTTATCTCTTTGTGATAGAACTCTAATTTCATACCTCTTGCCAGATATGAAGAAGGTATATCTTTCTACTGTATATGTCTTGGGGATAAATAAGTAATAATTTTCCATGTGTGTGGGTACTTTTAATTCAAATCTATGGTATCATGTATAAAATACTCCAGTTATTTAATAATACATCACAAAAATTAGACCCATATTCTATCATAAAACTGGTGGAGAATATCTTACTTAGACTCTGAGAACTGCATTACCTTAATGAGTTCTCTTCAATTTCTGTGGCTCCCTCAATATATTTTAATACCATATCAGAAATTGGAGAAGCTTTTCCAGAAAGTGACATAAATCTACAAAATGAAATGTGGGAGTCTGTGACCCAATTCTTATATTTCTTTTCTTCTTGCTTACTTCTGTTCCCAAATAAGAATGTGGACATGTTGCTTTATAATGACATATTATTGTTACCAATTTTTTTTAACTTTTTTTAATGTTTATTTGTTTTTGAGAGGGAGAGAGACAGAGTGTAAGCGAGGGAGGGGCAGAGAGAGAGGAGGAGACACAGAATCCGAAGCAGGCTCCAGGCTTGGCTGTCAGCCCAGAGCCCGACGAGGCGCTCGAGCTCACAAACTGCGAGATCATGACCTGAGCCGAGCTCACAAACTGCGAGATCATGACCTGAGCCGAAGCTGGACGCTCAACCGACTGAGCCACCCAGGTGCTCCTATTGTTACCAATTTTTAAAAGAATTTTGTTTTAGATAAGCTCCTTAATCTAATGTGTAACTTTTAAATTATTATTTTATATAATATCTTTCTTGTAACTGTAAAGTTAGGAACCTGGAACAGGCTGAGCCTTTAGAGCAAAATGTTGTCAAAATCGACAAGGTGAGCCTGAGGCAACCCCAAACTTGTAGTCTCTACAGAGAAATAGCAGTAAGACACTCTGGGTAAGGTTGGGTCAGGAATTATTACACTTCTCAAATGATGGGATTCTTATTATTTTATCTCATATTTCATGATACACAGGTCCATAAAAATTAACTGTCTTAAGTAAGGTGGTTTAGTGCTAGTTTCTCTGACAACACTCTGTGCTGATTAGACTATGAACAGAAAAGTGTGAAATACAACTCAGACTAAAGAACAGGTTAATTTTTGATGATTCAATAAAACCCATCCTCTGAGAGTTTTACTTAAGAACCTAAAAATTCAGGTCAGTATAAAGAACTGGCAATTACTCAGAAAGCTTCAGAAGGTATATATCCTGATCTGTTGATGTGAACAACTTTTAGCGATATGTTATAAGGTGAAAAAACAGCTTCATGGAGTGCATGTAAATATATTTTGTATTAAATTAAATTGTTACATGTGTAGTTTCTGTTCTTGTGTGACAATCTTAGATTTTCTTATATGCATTTATGATTCATTTTAAAAGACTTTTCTGTGATTGGTTGATTTGTAACAACATACTTATGGTACATCATCAAAATTCTTACATTCATTGTAGAATGGTTTTTCAGGGAAGGTAAACATTCTATCAATGTCTGAAAGTAAGTATTCTTTCATTTCCCCGGATAATGACAAAAACGTATATTGGAAAATTTGAGCCAGCACTACATAAATTGAAATGGTCTCTCCGAGGGCACCCCATTTTTCCCTGGTATTTTTAAGCTAAACAAAATTAACAGATTTTTGTAAGAGTCAAATTGAATACCTTGATCTATTAAACATGTAAGAGTGGCTTCATTAGTTGCTATTTGGAAGCAATAGCACGAAACAGCAGAATTTCAGAGTCTGAAGATACCTCAAAAATCATCCACCCTCTCTTGGGAGGCTGGAATCCCTTACCACTACATCTAGCTTATAGCATTCTACACTGGGAATTAATATTTTCAGAGGTGGGGAGCATACTACTTTTATAGGAAGCTAATGATGTATTTGGATAACTCTAATTTTTAGAAAGTTCTTTCTTACATTGAGCCAAATTTTGTCTCTGAGCAATACCAGGTATGTCTACATGTTAATACTTTGAATATTTGAGGTCAGTTTACGTTCCCTTCTCCCCAACAAATGTTTAATATGTTATAATACATTTTTAGAGATCTCTAAATTTATTGTATTATTATTAGTGTACAGAGTTAAAGGTATAGTCTTCCAGACCACCAAGTCTGCCCAAGATTTTTGAACCCAACTACAAGGAGTTAGGGTACAACTACAAAGTTAAAGAGTCCACACAGATCACCCTTACTTCTGACATCAACTGTATGTGTAGGGTTTCTCAAATCAATCCTCAGGTTTGATAATTCACTAGAAAGACTCCTAGAACTAACTGAAACCTACTCTACTTATAGCTGTTACAGGGAAATGATGCCAGAAGTCAGCCAAAGGAAGAGACACAACGCAGAGTCTGGAGGGTTCCAAATGTGAAGCTGTCCTTGTTCCCAGGACCTGTTGCCCTTCTAGTATTGATCTGTGACAATACGCATGTGGTAACGCCAAGGGGGAAGCTTTTGTGAGCTTCAGCATCCAGAGTTTTTATTGAGGCTTCATTGCATAAGCATGATCGATTGATTTACCAGGTTTTCCAGAGGGTCCACCATGAAAAACAGAGACGCCTGTCACTTGGAAAATCCCAAGGGTTTAGAGGTTACCTCCCAGGACCTATGTACAAAAATGGCCACACCTCTTTTGGATGAGGCCAATTTCCTCACCATGCAATATCATTTACTATTTTCTTGGGTAAAATTCTCCGATTCCTTAATGTGACATGAAATATAGCTTTAGAAGCTAAACATATCTTGGTTGCATTTCTGTAGATAAGTCCTAATTTACCAATGTTCTCTTTTGGGGTCCAGGCTTAGGGTAACTTTGATAACAAAATATATACCTTGTGTCACTACAAGCTACATTGAAGTATTACTACTGTAAAGTATGAAATAATACTTTAGAGTCAGGGGTCAGACAGACAGAGAGAATCCTGACATTTAACAGCCATTAGACCTTGTGAATGCTACTTATTCTTTTCTGAGCTTTCATTTTTTCATAGAGAGTTAATAATATTCCATATATTATGGGAACTAAGTGAGATCACATGTAAAATCTTTAATGTATCATAGGACCTTAATAAATATTAGTTCGTGTCTGGAAAAAATGTTGGATGATATGAATTTGTGTTTGAGGGGTTATCTTAGGCAACGTTTGCCTGTCCAGTCTTCTAGACTAGATGTATGCATACATTATTAAAACAAAACAGAATTCATTCAATTTATCAAATATTTATCTAAATCCAACTGAGAAGTGTAAAGCATTATGCTAGCAACTTAGAAAAAGGCAGTTTCAGCCTTCCTGGAATGAGAACATTTTCATTAATATCTTTGATATAAGTAGACCGCAGTAGGTGTTGAATTAAGGTACATATCGGATGCAGTGATGGAAGTGCAAGAGAAAAAGAAAGTCTGACTGGGATTATTAGAGAATGCTTCCCTAAGAAGGTGATATGTCTGAAAGGCCCAATGTACTAGCAGGCTTTGATAGCACTTTTAGGAATAGTGAATACCATTTTTCAGAATTTATAAATGTATTTACTTGGTGAAAAGTGAATTTTATGACAAGGTATATATAAATTTATCATAAACATAGGAACAGATCATAAATCAAATTATCTTATATCAGAAATAAGTTCTCTAAAAATAAGAGGCAATGTTAAAAAACTTTTAACTAAAAGCTTAATCTTTGTAATAAAAATATCTCGTTGATTTTAAGGGATGTAAAGAGATTGCTTCTATTCATTGCATTTTAAAAATTCAGAGACTAAAAAAAATTAAAAAATAAAAATCCAGTAGACTTAACCCAATTTCTGATATTTATTATATCAGTTTTTGAATTCCAGGAAAACATAGATTTTATTTAAGGCAGGCAGTTCATTTGTGAGTAGCGAAAGAGTTAAACATAATTAATTTGTTCATGAAACAATTCATTCAGCACATATTCATTGGATGTATTCTGTGCACCAGGCACTATTCCAGGCTCTGTGGGAAACTGACAATAAACAAGTAAATATATAGAATGTCCAGTGGTATAAGTACCATCAAGAAGATTAAAGCAGTATAATGCGTGATAGAGAGTGTTGGAGAATAGTCGAATTTGCTTTTATGTAAATCGGTCAGGAAACACCTTCTGACAGACATCTGAGCAGACAGGAATCTTCGTGTGGTAACAAGTCAGAGAGATATTCTGGGGTGAGGGTTCCAGGCAGAGTAGACAGCAAGAGCAAGGTTCCTAAGGTTGGAGCATGCTTGGCATTTTATAGGAGGAGCAAGTGTGGCTGAGAAGAATGAGGGAAGGAGAAGGCAGGAGGTTGCTATATCATCGGGTTCCATAGGCCACTGCAAAGACTGGATTTTACTGCAAGTAGCACCTCAGTAACCTGACCCATGCCTACCTCTTAAACCTCTGTCTTTGCTTCTTATTTTTTCCTCTCTACACTTGTGCTGCCTAGTATGGTAGCCAATACCCCACATCCGACTATTGAGAACTTGGAATGTGGCTAGTTCAGTTGGACAGTATGAAAAAAAGTGAAATATCTCCATACTTTTATATTGCTTAATATGTTGAAATGACAACATTTCAGGTATACTGGGTTAAGTAGAATAAAATAAACTTCATCCCTTTGCTTTCTTTTAATTAATGTTTTTATTTAGAAATAATTCTAGATTCCCATGTGGTTGTAAGAAATAATACAGAGAAATCCTGTGTTCCCTTTATCTAGTTTTTCCCAGTGGTAATGTCTTATCAGCACAGTATGACTACCAGGATATTGACAGAGATACAATCTTACTCAGATTTCTCTAGTTTTAATTGTACTCGTGTGTGTGTGTGTGTGTGTGTGTGTGCATGCTTATCTGTTCAACTTTGTCACATATATAGGTACCACAATGTCAACATTCAAAACAGTTTCTTCACCACCAAGATCCATTGTATTGTTCTTTTGTAACTACACCCACCGCATATCTATGCTACATCCCTCCCCGGGGCCCCAGCCTTTACCAACCACTAGTCTATTCTCCATTTATATACTTTTTTCAGGTTAGAAGTGTTATGTAAATGGAATCATTCAGGGCATATTCTTCGGGAACTGGCTTTGGTCCCTCAGCATAATCCCCTCAAGATTGATCTAAGTCACTGTCTGCCTCAATAGTTCATTCCTCTTTATTGCCAAACAGCATCCCATGAGCGGGATGTACCACACTTTGTTTAACGACTCACCCGTGGAAGGACACCTGGGATGGTTCTCGTTTCTGCTACTACGAATTAAACTGCCATAAACATTCCTGTACAGATTTTTGTGTGAATATGGGTTTTCGTGTATCTGGGGTAAATGCTTGAGTACAACTGCTGGGTCATATGGTATTTGCATGTTTAGTTTATAAGAAACTGCCAAATCACTTTTCCAGGGTTCTGTATCCACCTGTTTCTTTTTACTTTTTGTAACATGGCTACTAGAAAATTTAAGATTACATATGTGGCTCACATTTCTATTTAACAGTGCATCTCTTGTGTAGAGCACCGGTTCCTCATCTCACGCTCTCCTCATGTGCTGTTCTCTCTGCAGTGTGTTCATGACCCCTCTCAGATGTACATGAACGTCCATAGCACAGTGGTCGAAAGCAGAGTCTCAAACCAGATGGCCTGGGTTTGGATCTTGGATCTACCCCATATGGGGTATCTGATTTTTAAGATAGTTAATACTTTTTCCCTCGGTTTTTTTATCTGTAAATGGGATAATTATAGCAATACCGATCTCATTGGGTTGATATGAGGACTGAGTGGGTTAGCACAGGTGAAGTTATTTCCTAATGAGCTCTTTCTGACTCCTGCCCAAGAGCAGATTGAAATCCTTGTATAGGCTCTCATCACAGTCAACATCCTCATTAAAGTTGTAATTCTATGATTATTTTGTATCTCACTTCACTATTGCAGGGGCAGTGGTCTTATCTAACTTATTCAGTACTATATCCTTAGTACTAGTATAGAACTTGCAAAAAGGAGAGAGTATACCATTGTTAAATGAATGAGGGAATGGATAAATTGCTTTTTTTGAGTCGTGTTTTTTTTTAAGTTTTTTAAGTTTTTAAACTTCAGTTACCATGCAATGTAATGTTAGTTTCAGGTGTACAACTTACTGATTCAGCTCTTTCACAGAACACCCCTGGTGCTCATCACAGCAAGTGTACTTCTTAATCGCAATCACCTATTTTACCCATCCCCACCCACCTCCCTTCTGGTAACCATCAGTTTGTTCTCTAGAGTTAAGAGTCTGTTTCTTGGTTTACTTCTCTCTCTCTCTCTCTCTCTCTCTCTCTCTCTCTCTCTCTCTCTTTTCTCCCCATTGCTTGTTTCAGTTCTTAAATTCCACATGTCGGTGAAGTCATGGCATTTGTTTTTCCTCTGACTGACTTACTCTTTGTTATGGCCAAGTAATATTCCAGTGTGTGTGTGTGTGTGTGTGTGTGTGTGTGTGTGTGTGTGTGTATTTATTTTACTATTTTATATATATATATTTATATATCACCTCTTCTTTATCCATTCATCAGTTGAAAAATTTCATTCAATGGAAGCATTCAATGGAAGCATGATTTACTTTAATTATTTAACTTAATTTCTTCTTCCTTAAATTTCAAAATCAATGTTATTCATGTTTCTCTGATTTAGAAGACTAGGTTTCTATCTGCAAGTTCTATGAACAACTTGTACATGTGGATTACTATTGTGGAGTAAAAATTGTTCTGGAAAAGTGATTGAATTCAATAGTAATAGTACTAAAATATATATGTGTATGTATAGAGAGAGAAAGTACTCTGTGACAGTTTTAGTTCAGTTATCCAGTTCAAGCAATCGTGTAATTGTTATGATACAATTCATGTTACTTAACTGCTTCCTTTGGATTATGGGCCCTATTAAGACCAATCCCTCAGTCAGTGACATTATAGGTAACATTAAGGTAACATTAAGGTGTTTTTAGGTGACATTAAGGTAAAAGTACTTTTTAATGCCTCTGCAGATACCTTTTTCTCAGTATACCTAGTCCTTAAATAGTAAGCTCCATGACATTCTTAGGAAAGTCACAGAAAACCGTGGCATAGCATAGATGATTTTAATTTACCCACTCTGTTTTAAAACTGTGTACCAACTACCAACAGCACATGCCTGTTTCACACACACACCCAAATATATTTTGTCAGTGATTGACCTTTATCTTCTCACCTACAAAGTGAGGTTACTATAGTAAAGATCACTGACTTAGGGTCACTTTGACCTAAGGTGAGTGAGGCTCTTGCCATTAATTCTACGGTCTTGAAAAGACCAATTAATGTTTCATCCTTCATTTCATTTCCTAAGTAATGGGGATGTTGATGAATTCTAAGTGGAATTGCAATGATAACTAAATACAAGTGTCCAGATACAGATGCTAAGTAAAAAATATCTCCATTTTTGGATGGTACCAGGATGTACAGGATGTGCTGAGTTTCACATGTTTTCTTCAATTTTACCATACACCCTCACAGGCATTAGGCCACTGCTATACTTTAGCATGCTGAGTACCAGAAATGCACTTTGTTTAACCAGACAGTTACATGACAAGACTTTGCCATAAGATTATGACTTTCAACTCCAAACTAACCAGTGAAATAAAATACGCCTTCTTTCCATTGAAAAGTATTTGAGCTCAAACTTGTACTGAAGCATATCTGGGTGTAAAAGATTGCGATGCCATTTGTTTCCTGGTTTAGCGATTTTTAATACCAAGTAGATTAAAATAATACTAAATAACAAAAAATTTGCTAATATTTATTGAATTTTTACTCTGTGCTCAGAACTATATTGATTTGCCAGAACTATTTTGCGATATAATTGATATATAACATTGTGTCAGTTTAAAGTGTATAACATGTTGATTTGATACATTTGTAAATTGCAGTATTATTACCACCATAGCATTAGCTAACACCACCAGCATGTCCCATAATTATCATTTCTTTTTTTGTGGTGAGAACATTCAATCTGGTTTCTTAGCAACTTTGAAGTATATAATGCTGTATTATCAATATAACTACACAGGTAGCTACTATAATCATCCCTATTTTACACTTGAGGAAACAGGCTAAGAGAGATTAAATTAGTGACTCAAGGTCAGAGTACTAGTAATTATTAAAGCCAGGATATGATTCTTCGTAATGTGAGAGTTCAAGCCTTTGCCAGTGATGCATGTTGCCTCTTATTTCAATAATAAGTTGGCCATTTGGGTTAATCATGGGGAAGGTGATGTTCCCTTTGTTTTCATATTCCTTATATTTTTCAACACTTTTTATTCATATACAGTCTGGTAAAATAAAATCATGTCCTCTCTTTCCTATGCCTTTACAGTTATTGTGTTACTATGGCCTTTATAAATGAAACAAGCAATGACAACAACAAACCCTTGCCCAAAGTGAGTGAAAATTCTAGCTCCTTTTCTCATTTTCTTATTGCAACGCAAGGACTTTGAGATTCATCACAAATTATCTATACACCAACAATATTTAATTTTCACAGTCAGGTAACTCCTGTGCTATAGACATGAAAGCGTGACACCTACATTTTTACAATCATTTCTCCTACCCTATTTTTTTTTTAATTTTTTTTTAACGTTTACTTATTTTTGAGACAGAGAGAGACAGAGCATGAACGGGGGAGGGTCAGAGAGAGGGAGACACAGAATCTGAAACAGGCTCCAGGCTCTGAGCTGTCAGCACAGAGCCCGACGCGGGGCTCGAACTCACGGACCGCAAGATCATGACC